AGTTGGAGGTTGCTGTGAGCTGTAATGCCACGGCACTCTACCCAGGGGGACAGCTTGAGGCTCTGTCTCAAAAAAAAAAAAAAAAAAAAAGTAAAAAACAATCCTGACATTAGAAAACGTTAGCCAGTCCTAAAAGTGGACACTTTGCTCATTTTGGGAAATACAGCATGACATCAGTCTAAATAATACTGAGAGGCTCGGCATCTGTAGCTCAAGCAGCTAGGGCACCAGGCACATACACCAGAGCTGGTGAGTTTGAATCCAGCCCAGGCCCGCCAAACAACAGTGATAACTACAACCAAAAATAGCTGGGTGTTGTGGCGAGTGCCTGTAGTCCCAGCTACTTAGGCAGCTAAGGCAAGAGAATCCCTTAAGGCCAAGAGTTTGAGGTTGCTGTGAGCTGTGACACCATGGCACTCTACCCAGGGTAACAGCTTGAGACTCTGTTTCAAAAAATAAATAAATAAATAATACTGAGAAAACATGCACAGACTACTAAGCGGACTACTGCTTCATCCATGAGGAATATAGACAGCAGGAAAATAACTTTAAAAATATGTTCACTTTCCTGGTAATCTATTGGTTAGGAAAAAAAATACATTCACTGGACTAAACCCACACCCAATCTCTTTGTTGGTTGCATAGAAAAGAGGTGACTCTCCTTGCTTTGGCTATTGCTATTGGGTGGCAGGATGTGTCCTCAGTGCCATTTACAGAATACTGGCTGGCAAAATACAGCCCTCAATAAATACCTGTGACTAGATGATTGCTCAGGGTTATGGAAAGAGAGGCTCAAGGGATTAAACAATACACCCAGGGAACACACACTGGTGAAAGCAAGTCTGCTCAATGATGAAGCCCAGGCTCTTTTCTTTACATTGCACACAATTATTGATATTTTAATGACTGCCTATTATGTTATTACAAAACTGGATTGCAGGGCTCGGCACCTGTGGCTCAAGTGGCTAAGGCGCCAGCCACGTACACCTAAGGTGGCAGGTTCGAATCCAGCCCGGGCCAGCCAAACAACGATGGCTGCAACCGAAAAAAAAAAAATAGCCAGGCATTGTGCTGGGCGCCTGTGGTCCCAGCTACTTGGGAGGTGGAGGCAGGAGACTCGCTTGAGCCCAGGAGTTGGAGGTTGCT